AATAAAATACATAAATACATAAATACATAGCCAAGTTTGACTGCTATATCATTTGATAAATAATTCATTAGGAATAATTTATGTTGTCATGATCTAGGTGGTGTTATAGCATATTCACCTGTTTATCAAGGAGAGGAAGCCTTTTCAACTCAAGATCAAATAGAGAAAGGTTACTACATGGGTGAGTGTTTTTGTGCTGCTGAAGTTATTTATCATCATTTGAATTGCTACAAAATTATGAATGGCAATTTGCCCAATTTCATACTGTGGGAGACTGGGTACAAGACCCTTAATTCGCACGATGGTTAGATAAGACTATATAAATCTAAAGAGGGTATTGAGAAATACTAACTGTCTGAATTTGGCGTCGATCAGGTCAATATTAAACGATTTACAGCCTTTCAGACATGCTAGAATTTCCAAAGAAATGTATAGAATGYCAGATRTGCGTCTGGATTTTTCTCAATTTCYATTTCTTTGTAAAATCTAGAATTTTTGAAAACCTGCCAATCGGTTACATTTTATCCAAACGTTAACACCAAACGTTGTGAGTTTCTTAATTACAGTGTAATCTTTTGTTTCATACAAGTCTTATCTCACCATCGTGCGAATTAAGGGACTTGTACCCAGTCTCCCACGGTATGAAATCTGGCAATGCATGCAATTAGCAATAGACTGCTGACAATCAAAATTTTCAATAAATGCAATTCAATCAAAATTTTCAAACAGACTCACCTGGTAGTTGGCATTTAAAAAAATCTAGTCAAAGGAGCTATTTGCAGTTGTAAAGTTTTATCTGGCCTTCCATAATGTATCAAATGTAAACAATGCTAATGCACCTGACAACCAACCGTGTTTTTGGATGTAAACAATATGCTTGTTGAACAACTTACCATTGAATACCATTGAGTCRACCATAGGTGTTGKCTTGTGTATCTTACTTTACTTGCAAGTGACCATCAGATGGGCTGCTCAAAATCAAAGCAGTGACTTAGCAAATTCCAACAAATCTGTTGCATTAGTYAAAGAATCTCCTTGATGGTGATGTGAAAATATTGAATTAAAAAAAGATACCAACAWTTAACTACAGCGCAATTAATCAATGTATCATGAATATGTGATAGATTAGTTCAGCTTGAAAACTTCTGCTCWTCAGTATAATGGCACTACTGAATGATACTAAATCAACAATATTACTTGTACTCGTAGGGTATTCYGTAACAAGTGGATTATTTGGACAGTCAAAAAAGATGGGTTAGTATTGTCAGATAAATGTTAAAGTCTTTTAAACTATTTCTTCTTTATCAATAGTTTGTAATGCTATTTTCTATTAAATTTTAATTTATATCTGCATGTATTTTATTTCTATTGACATGATTTTTTGTTTCAGGGATTGCTGGAGGTGCACCAAGGGCAGAGAACATGAAAGGCAAAGTAAGTTATATAAATAACAGATAATATAAAATAATAGTAATAATTCCCATACCTGCTGTCCTGTTCCTTGTTAACAGTACTATAGAAACCCACATGTAACTTGTATTTTGATTGTCTTTAGGTTCTGATCTATCAAATTGAGCCAAGCCAGCTGACAGTTAGTGCAACATTACCACAGCCTAAGAATGCTAAGGCAAGAGTATAGTTCAATTACAGTGTCTTTGGAAATTATATTTAACCTCTGTAGCCTGTAGTTTTAATATTTGAATTCCCTCGATCATTAATCTAATTGCCACTTAAACCAATTATTGCAATAATTAATACAGGAATTAATTATAATAATTTAAGTATAAGTAACCAGTCTTTGAGAGCAATTAGCATTGTTTTGTTTTTATTCTCTAGTAATTAAAACAAAGCATTGTCTGAACCAAAATAACAATACAATGTATTTAGAAAGTAGTTGTTCCTTGATCATATTAAATTGTAAAGGAGGTCAGGGCTGTAGAACTAAGACTTGACATAAAAGTATGTTTTACATCTTTCTGTTAATTAACAATATTGCATCCTTCAGATGGGAAGCTACTTTGGAAGTGTTTTGTGTGCTGTGGATCTAGACAAAGATGGGTAAGTGCAGTCTTTACAGATCTGTTCTTCAAGATATAAAAAGCAGTCTGTTATTGTGTTTCCAGTTGCAAGACTCAGTCTTTTCAAGGATATACAGTGTAGCATATATAGTGTTGGGTCTGGCTAGTGAAAAACATTGGTTTAGTTTTCTAAAAATAATAACACTGTATATTGTTATAGTCATTTCAATGTCTTTAAAAATTTCAAAAATCCTGACAAAATATTTTTTTCTTTCTGAAGCTATACAGACATTTTAGTGGGAGCTCCATTTTACTCAGATGTCAAAGATGAAGGTCATGTCTTTGTCTACATGAATAACAAAAATGTAAGTCTGTTCATCCACTACTAATGCTAGAAATTGGTAAAAATATGTAGTCTTTGAAACACAATTCATTCTTTTTCAGGGGGCTTTGAATCTAATGCCTGATATGGAGCTCTCAGGAGACAAGATTGTTGGTGCTAGGTTTGGTTCAGCCATAGCAAATGTTGGAAGCCTAAACAATGACAAATATGATGGTAAGTCATTATTCTCATTTCATGGTGGTAAGCATGGTAGTGTGAAGGAAGGATAAATGTCATGGGTTTACAGKGTTAAGAGAAGCATTGTGAAGTGAATAATGAGCTGCATTTTGACRCAAATAGTACAACTTATTTGTGATATCTGTTTTCAGATGTTGCCATTGGAGCTCCTTATGAGGACAAAGGTGCTGTGTATATTTACCATGGTAAAGCCAATGGCATTGAAACAAAGTATAGACAAGTATGTCATTGTTGGTGTACTATTTTATGTTTTTTTAGTGTCTTTTGGCAGGATTTTCAATAGTGTCTGACAGAACAATTACTGATTCAGTTGTCTTTTTTGGAAGGGTGTAGTGCGTGGATTAGTTCAGGAACACTATAATTATTATGCATTAAAAACTAAATATCATTGTTATAATTTGTAGAAAATACTTGCATCTCAAGTCAATTCTGGTCTTTCTCTGTTTGGACATTCTATTTCTGGAGGTTTAGATGTTGATGACAATGGATACCCAGGTAACGTTATTAAGAGCTCTTTTGCTTTTTCTTGACGTATTGTCGGCTTTGACAACATACAATGACACATTCTTTATGCAATTCAAGATGCAATATTATTCAGACATAGGATTTGTGAGAGATGATAGAGCGGATTTCGTATGAGTGGGAAACGGACGGTACTGTACTGTGACCGTTATCGTACTGTAACCAAATTCTAGTGCCCCATTGGTTCACAAAAATTGTGCAGGCCAGGTCCGGTAACTGTGCGGTGACCGTGCGGTAACCGTGTCCCACTCATACGAAATCCGCTCTATTTGGTATTATATTGTTAGCAGTAACATAGCAAGGGGGAGGGGGTTATTGACTACCCCTCCCACTCTCATTTTCTCTGGTTTTTATTGGTTTGTTTTAGACATGGCTGTGGGTTCTTATGGCTCTGATAAAGCTGTTCTTCTTAAGTATGTATATTGTATACATGTACAAAATAATTTCCTATTTCATTGTTAAGAAATTAGCTTCAAGTGACATAAAGTATCTGTATGTAAAGTTTCGTTATTAGTATATAGCTCATCCAGACTTTTATTTTTACAAAAATAACGTCAATCCTTGCCTCATCATAGTCAACTACATTTTCCGACCTGAGGTGAGAAGTTAACTGTGGAAGAGGCTGTCATTCCCTCAGATATAACAATATTGTAGCATTATTATGGATTTAAAAATGACTTCATTTGAAAAATTTCTTTTGGATTTTGGGAAGTGTACAAAACCTGCGTTACTTTCCTGTATGCCTGAACTGTTTCTCAAACCAAAGTTTCCTGTGTTGCCAATACCAGGCAAAACTCGGTGACCTAGCTGACCTGACTTATCCAGTTCCATACCAGAAGCCCTAATGTTCCTTGTCTTTCATATAGGACGCAAAAAGTGATCAACATTAAAGCTGAAATAAGCTTGAGTGTTACAAGATTTGTCATTGAAAATAACAAGACAGAATGCAAAGAAAACGATGGTACATTCCATAAATGGTAAAGAAACAAATGTAGATAAATGCATGGTACCGGCACCATGCCCCACCCCTCTCATGACTTSTCCGCCTTTTTCAAAACCCTATTAACGTTAATCCTGGGTTAACTCTGTAGGTTTTTTTATGAGTTACTTTAGGTCTAGAGCTTTGAACAATCGGTGTCCACCATCTAATCACCCGAGTCGCACTTATCGCCAGCACCAGTGTAATGATTTTCAAGGTTTTCAATTTATTCAGCGAGTGAGATGATTGAGATGTTGGCAATCATTTGAACATTTGTAATAACGACATTTTCTCGTGCACTAATTTGTGTTGAGTCAGGTCTTTGCGCAAGAGAATCTGWTGTCAAATAAAGCATGCAGTGGTTTTTCGCTATGAATTTGAAACTGGAGTGTTGCGTCTGCATAATTCAATTTTCTGATGATGCAGGAGACTAATACCCGATGATTCGAAAATAGTCGAAAAAATATACGATTGTATAAAGACATACGATTTTGGTAAAAATTTTCAACAATGATAACATTAAGATTGACGTCCTTTCTTTCAGTCTAAATGTAACAGTATGCTTTACAACTATGGAAGCTAAACCTACAGGTGAGAACAAGTCTTGTTTTATTCATYCTCGGGGGCCAGGGTTTATTTTCCTTCTCGAATGAGGAGCGAATGATAGAATATTACATGGTCGCTTGGAGATACGAATTTTAATATCTTCTCGTGTTGAAAATTGCTACTCTCGCTCGTGAGAGATTCTTTCAAGACTCGAAGTTAATACCCATATCTTCACGTGCCCGTTTWATATCCTCTATGTGCTATATGAATGGACATATTGTAAGATTCAACCTTAAATCCTAAGGATGGACACGGATTGCGAATCAGGGATATTTTCCATGTGCGAAACCGACTTTTAAACTAACCCCGATCGCAATGATTGCTGGTGGACATTGGCCCTTTAAATCAAAGAAAATAAATTTGCAGTTAAAAGTTGCCCGGAAATTTTAGAATATTGTTGGTAGGAATTAACCATACAGCGACAAATGTTAGGTGTCTAGCACAAAAAACCTCTGCACGATTCTAGAGGGGAAAACTATGGGATGAGTTGAAGTCCTTAAATCAATAAAGATAGCCAGCTAACAAACTCAGATCATTATAATTCATGATTTCTGGAGTAGGGGTGTTAAAAGCGACTCTGTGCATAACCTGCAAAAGAAAAATATTACTGAACTTATTCGTTATATCTAATAGACTTAAATATCACGTACAAGATTGAATTGGACCAGGACAAGGGATCTGACGCCTTACGACGCATGTATTTCTACAAAAAGAACTCCAAACGTTTTATGATTACTGACACCCAACTAATGAGATTTAGCGCAAACCGTAAAGTCTGTCTACCTGTTCACACTGTCCACTTGAGGGTAAGAGTATAGTTATCCACGAAACAATTATAATGATAATGATGAATCAATGGCAGATCTGGGCTGTGGTTACAGAGGGCCCGCAGCCACTCTTAACAACATGTAACCTTCTACATTTTCCCTATATTGACCATTTTTGTGGTGTCCATTCCCTCCTTGGGTGATCCTGCACCATTCAACAAAACAATTTCCGCAAATGGTACCCGAAAATAACTAAATCTAAGCAACATATTTAAAGCGTTGCCATTACAAATAACACTATGTCCCTTTTAATGGTTAATTTCATTCTATTTTATGTTTTTAGAAAAAGAGTCGTCTTGTCGATCTACTTAGTGTGCTGACATTTGATGTTTCATTTGATCTCGCTCATTCAAGTTGTAAAACAAATCCGAACGAACTCTGTCCTGTTTTGAACGATTACATGCCGAAGCTAGTCCGTGCCGTGGTAAGTCACGATCAGAACTGTTGACCGAGTGACTCCTATCATTGCAGTCTCTTCTTTTTCCCAAAATGATTGATGGGAGGGATCTAATCAGGCAATTCTTAGGAAAATGTCAAGAAACGCGTCTGAGAGAGTGGACTGGCTTACCTACATAGGGTGTGCTAACCGTATATTTTTTGACCCGCATATTCTTATAAGGAAATGGTGATCGTTCCCCAGATGTTCAGATACTGTAGTGGTTTCCTGTATAAGCAAAGGGTTTAAACGTATGAAAAAATGTGCGGTTTCGAAAATGATCCGGATACGTGTGAACGCAGTCACTGAATGGAAGGAAGAATGACCTTATGTCAGATAATTTTAAAATTCATAACCGACTAAATAAATGAATCAGTTTCGAACTAATTAGGAAAATGGATAAAATATTTGTTCACTCATTTCATTCTACTGTCTTAAGATGAACTGTTTCATTTAGGCAACATTCCAGAAGCAGTGTAGAAGCAATGATATCTGTAAGCCTGATCTTAGTGTAACTGGAAAGCTCATTATATCAGGGTATGTATATGCTGTGTGCTCCGATAAAGAGCCTCAGCCTCAGCCAATCAGAACACGCGTTCTATTATGCTTATGTAGTTTATAGTAGCCCTCAGTATTGGCTAGCGCGCACAAGTAGTTTATTGGCCATCGCCACCGCGCACAAGTAGTTCGACGTTTTTGCATCATTGTTAATTCAATATACCACTAAAGATGCACCATGTTTAACTTCAGTTTTTTCCTAAGGTAAACCCATTATATAATCATTCTGAACTTGGTGTTTGTATTCATTTCTCATAGGAAAGAGACTGACACAATACACATTGGGACAGTGAATGACGTCACGTTAATGATTGACGTCAAGAACAAAGCTCCTGATGCTGCTTATTTAGCTCAGGTAAATAAACAGTACTAGTCTATGTGGCTTACTGTTCCTWTACTTAAATCTCTGTCTATTTTCCTATATACTTCTAAGTGTTGCACACTTTTGTGTTTCTTAGATTTATTGAACAGAAGTACATAACTGTCCATCTCGCTAGTAAACTAGTCACCATCATATAGATGCTTACGACTTAAGCCGGAAGTGAATTGAAAACAATAGAAAACAAAGGAATGGAAACGAGGCCTAAGGGCCCTTGATGTGGTCAGATGGCAAATATCAAGGGATTCCATTCACCTGAATTCAAGAAAAATTGCTTGTCTGTAGGAAAAGGACATTTTCTTGCTTCTTGTAAATTCAATAAGAATATTTTTTAATCCCTAAGTTTCTTCCGGTTTATGTCGTAAGCGTGTATCCCGATAATCTATTTTTAGACAACCAATCACAACGTATGCACGGCTTTTTCGGTCCGGTATCCTAGTATCCTAGTCATTCGCGCGCTGTGATTGGCTAGCGCGCGGTCCGGTTTTTCACGATCTGCCCGGTCCACGGTATCCTGCAGCGACAAGTAGACTGCGAGCAAAGTTGCATAAAATACAAATGAAAAAAAAATGTTATTTACCGGCTATAGGTCGGTCCGTGTAGAAAAACACTGCCCTCGGTCTTTTATGTACGGACCTCGCTGCGTTCGTTCCGTACTGTCAAGAASTCGGGCAGTGTTTTCCTATACGGACCTAAATAACATATTTACCTGATTGGTCGTTGTTACTTCAAGAAATAAGAAAAGCAAAGTTAGTCGATGGAGGCGAACGAAGTGAAGTTTGCATCTCGAGAATTTTTACACCTTTTGCGGAACAACCATTTCTGAATTTGATAGTTATGACCTGAACTACTAGAACTTCGCAATGTTCTGTGAAAATAATGAGAGATTAATAATAAGAATTAATGAAAAGCAAAAGTTAAATATACAAAAACAAAAAGTGCCATCGTTTAGTACTATTAGTTATCAATGTTACTGTTTATCGCGTCACCTATTAAATACATGGGTATTCTCTATAGGTATTATCTATATATTATTTTGTATTTTATAGGTTGTAATCTCATACCCATCGACATTTGACTACATCGGACCACGTTTATCTGATGTAAGTATAAACATTAATAACTCATTGATAACCTTTTCAAGGAGTAGAATTTTCTCTCCTCCAAAGAGTATATTCACTCGTTCAAACTCTGCCGTCACAGGCAGTTCTGAATAGACGACGCCCTCGGGATCAGACAAGCACCGCAAGTAGAACTAAAAATATCGATAGATTTCGACCCGAATAGACACCACATGTACGAATAGACACCACATGTACGAATAGACACCACATGTACGATGCGGCGTATAAAATGAAAAACATTTTTATCTATGATAAAAACAACCACTATTTAACTATTTTTAAACTATTTTTGTTTTATTGGTATGATCGATTCTCACTTGCAAGTTAATATTGGAGATTTTGTGATATAATCATAACAGAATCACGAAAGAGAAAATTATTATTKTGTCTTATCAAATTAAAACTTGTGATGGTTTTGCTAATTTTCGTTTTTTTTTAATAATCCGTCAGGCAGTGCAATGTACCACTTCTGCAGCCTCGAATGGTAGTGAGACGGCCACATGTACAATAGGAAACCCTCTCAATGGCCAGTCGAATGTAAGTACACTCTCGAGCGATATATACTGCATTGAGTGYAACTCTGTATTGCATGTGAGATTCGGCGTGTATATAAATTCTTCGTGTTKTCAACTAACGACTCACTAAGACCTTCGTTCTTTTTCCAGAAAACAGTCCACATTAAGTTTGGTACTTCAGAGCTTGCTAGAGACTTCTCCATTGGTATTCAAGCTAAAAGGTAAATTTTTATTCACATCGAAGACAACARATATGAACAAAATCAACAATAATTCATGTTATCTTTGCTTGCTCGATCCTATGAGGCAATTACTTATAAAAGACCTTCGTYGATCATGTTTCYTTTTTTTTCAGTGTGAATGTTGATCAAAACGAAAATGATAACTCMATGAAAATCCCAGTTGTRGTGAAATTTGARGCAGATCTAGAGGTTTTAGGGTGAGTGTCATTGCTTGTTTTTAATAAACGCAAAGATGTTTTAAAGAAAATCAACAATTTTGTAACTTTATGCAATAATCACATGACATGTCCTTTTTAGGTCTTCTGTCCCAGATGAAGTTATATACCAAGGCAAAGCAATGTCCAAAGATGAGATTAAAATACAAACCCAGATTGGTCCTAAGATAGCACAAACAATCATTGTATGTGTAGTATAGACATATTCATCATTTCAAAAAAACGTCGGGTCGCAAGAAATGYGTTATCACCGAAGCTAACACCAGATGGAAGTACTAAGAAATTCGAATCATATTTAAACATCAAAGCATTGCTCGTAGAAAAGGTCATTTTATTCAGAGCAGGCAATCTTTTACTTAAAACACTTAATCACTGCTTTACTCATAATCGATTTGGTTTCCCATGCTTCCTTTCGGTCTTAGCTTTGATGATGTAATCTTTTGAAACCCGGCTATTTTTCAACCTGGTTCTATTTATCGGTCATCCGCSTATCGCTTGTGAGCCCGGTTCCTCATATTAGCTTCTGTAAACTTAGCCTCAAATAGAGTACTCGAGTGATGACGTCACAAAACGTTTAAAATGTTTGAGTTTTCAAATTTGCCCACCATATTCTGAAAGTGCATCATTTATTATGCATCTTTGCTAAATATGAGTGTCTTAGTGCCATTTATAGCGAAGAAAGAAACGCGACCAAATTTACAAGCGATTGTATGTTGTCACCCAACCATAAAATCGCTTGTATCTYCGCTATAAATGGCACTAGGACGCTGAAATTTGGTAGATAGCTACCTTTTTCCATGCGCTTTAAGGATACTTCAACGAATCCGAAAAATTCGAAAAAAAGTATTTTTGTGACGTCACACTTGAGTACTCTATATATAGTTAATCTCTGTTAAGCGGTCATTTGGGGTTTACTGAGGGATGATACAGAGGTTCAAATGTGTCATTCACAGAGAAAGAGTCATTACTTATAGGTCGACTAATAACAAATACCAACTTAAACTTTATGTTTAGGTTCAGAATAAGGGACCAAGTAAAGTTGACGGAGCTGAAGTTCAAATCAGTGTTCCTAGCCGGTACATTGACGATACAGATAGTTACTTGCTYTACTTGCTGCAGGTTGAGGTAGGTATTTTATCGTATATAATAGTCACTTTTTACCCAATCAAAACGGAGGAAATATAGGAGAGATAATCCCATCCTCGGAATCCCTGGGGATAGAGATGTAAAGCCTGGTTACCGAGGATGAGGTAGCCATTATGTCATAGACAATAAAAGTTGTAATTTTCAACGTTCTGTTTTTCCACAGTTGACTGGTGCAAGTGGAAGCTGTCGTACYGAGGGAGCCCTTAACGAATTGAAATTACCAGTATGATATGCCATTGATAACAATTTATCTTTAGTTATTGCAACTCTGAAAGGAAATTGAGACGTCACCAGTCTGRAACATTAAGAACCTGAACCAATTAGCATATTTTTGATGCCATATTTGATTGTTAAAGTTATTGAAGATGACATTGGATATGAAGAAAGCAATTTCTTAACTGAATGAATGTCTTTTACTAAAATTTTGAAAAATATAAAGCGGAAAAATCGAACAGACGAGTGGTATGGTGGTTAGACGTTTCAGTCACCTTATGAGTCTATCCTACTACTTTTGAAGTGGAGAAAGAAAAAGGCGCGGAGGATGAAAATGAGCTTCCTGCGGGGGAGACCAATAAGACCCTACAACTCCCAATACAATTTTCTAAAATTCCCTTATACATCAATTCTGATTTAGTTATTATTCATTTTGTTTCATTTTTGCTTTTCTTAACAGCTGACTGCAAATGTCACTACATCGGACAAAGATTCCAAACGAAAAAGACGCAGCGTTGTAGAAGGGACATCTTTGGTAGGGGTTTTGTTCGTTCGTTTTATTTTTCGTGTGTGGGTTTGTTGTTTTAATTGTTGTCGTTATGGTCACATTTCAGGATTGTCGTACTGCCACGTGTAAATCGTTCAAATGTGTATTTGGGTTGTTGAAGGCAGGAGAAAAAGCAGAAGTCACTGTTAGATCTCGTCTATGGCAAAGCACGTTTCTAAAGGTGAGTGATGATATTTATACAACAACAGCTTTTAACCGCGATTTCCCTTTATATTCTCTTTCATATATGATATATCTCATCCCGTTTCATGGATAAATACCTACCAATATGGACGCCATATTGAATTCTATTGTGTTGACTTGATAAGCATGGGAACCAAGGGCACTAAACAAGACGTATATGAACTGTACAGATTTGAGAATGCCATGAGATTTGACGTGATATAATGAAAAAGGGTAAACATACTACGCCACAGTAGATAGCTGTTTATTTCTTGTGGCCGGTTGTGCGACCAAAGGCTCTGGAAATAAAGTGAGCAAAGAACGTTAACCACAGACATGAATTTTTTTTCCAGAAAAATCCCGGCACACAAACAATCCAAACTACTGCAATAGTGAGCATACCAGATAAAAAGTACACTCAACCAGATTCTGAAAACGATAAAGCTATTGTAAGTATTAAAGGATCAAAKAACAWCAACAGCAAYAAAAACAKACAAACAACAKCAACAACAACTGCAAGTCTCCACCTTAAGGTCTCGTGTTTGTTTTAGATATCTGTAATCGTCAAACCTCCATCCGATGCAGACAAACAAAAAGAAGAGCTTGCCTGGTGGGTGTATTTCCTGGCCGTGTTGGGAGGCGTCTTGTTACTTGGTATTGCAGCGTTTATATTATACAAGGTATGGGAACTGTAGAACATATTTCGAAGATAGGCTATGTGCAGTTACGTCTTTTCCACAGCAAAGATATGATGGCAAATGTAGTTTTCGCGCTTCAATCTTTACAAAGCAATTTTCCTCTTTTTTTGTTCTTAGCACAATGAATGTAATTTTGACGTTTCTGGTATCGAAAAATCCAAAACAACAGCAACAGCAACAACATTTTTTTATTATGAAAAATTGTTATAAAAAAGAGCAAGRAGTATATTTCCCATAGCCCTTTGTTCTAAAAAATACGCGTAGKTGCACATAGCCTACTTTAGCAGCTGCCCCTGTGACGTCACCTAACGCTACTCGTATCGTTGCGTAACGACACTGGGGCGGCTGCTAGACCAGGCTACGCTTATCATGGTAATAATTATTACTTTATATTGTTATATTTGAATAATCGCCGCCAGACATATATTCATCTAATTTGTACATAAACTTATGCGAGAATTTCTGTCATTTTTTTTTCTATTTCAATCATTCATCCATTCAGTCGCTTGTTAAAATCATTCGTACGTTCACGTGACGAGATTCTAACTTTTCTTTTTTCGTCCAGTTTGGATTTTTTAAGAGAAAACGAGTGAAGGATATTTCAAGTCCCGAGATGGAGCAATGATTTTCTAAAGGTGTGGATTACACAGTTCCTGTGCAAAAACCTACAAATCTTGATTGTTGTTATTTGCATTCGCTCATTCAATTACGTGGTTCCTTTAGTAGAAACTGTGATGAAGTATGTGTTGATTGTATTGATCGAAGTTAGTCGCATATCTTACTAATATCATTTTACTACCCTTTTTGAAGAACAATGTGGCAGATTACAATAATTTTTTAAGAAAAGTGAAAAGGATTTTGTCACATTTCATGTTAATTGTTATTCATATTCACGTTATAAGCTCCTAATACTAATGCTTGCTTTTTTGCCGGAAAAAGGATTTGGTGGATTGTTTGGTGAATATTTAAGAAATTGTAAATGTTTAGTGATATGCTAATATATTTAGAGAGTTTATTCATAAACTCTCTAAATACTTCAGCTCTGCCTAGCATCGAGCGCTCTACGTGGAGTAACTCCGCCAAATTTTACAGATATGCTAATATATATATTTTTGCCTTTTACGTCGACTATCTATTTATTGGACGGAATAATTCATTTTCAGTTAATTTCCCCAAAATGTCATATAAATTAACACTTTTGCTTACAGGAAAAGCTAAGCTTACCTTACAGACGAATTTTTATCTCGAAAGAGAAAMACAAAACAAAAAAAAAGACTTTTTCTACTAAATTATCYTGATCAATTTCTTCTCTTTCTTTTTTTTCAGTTCGGTTTTTTCAAGCGCAAAAGAATCAAAGACATTTCTAGTCCAACTCAATCCGACATAWCTCCCGCCGTGACGACTAGTTCAGCTATCTAAACTAAATTGCAATCAACTAGTATGATTCGACTATCGAACTCTTGAGTCATTTTTTCTTGACTTTACCGGGCTACCTGTGTTAGTGTAGTGGTCGGCCATTAAATATACACAGGAAGCCCATCGTGGTGCCGTATGTGCATAATTTAGACTCGAAAAACAATAGTGTAAATATAAAAAAAAGTTTATAAACTAAATAATATGGTTGATAATTGAAAAAGTCATTTGTTAAAATCATGTTTGTATGATTTTGTAAAGAAAATTTGCCATTTAGGAAACACCTGTATTTCTTATACAGTCCAAAAGCTTGTAGATTGAGATATTTACACATTCACAAATATGATATTCATAAAATACCTAATGAGATACCGCAGTCCATTTTCTTGATGAAGTAGGAACTGCACCAAACCACTAAAATGCCAGGTTTTAATTTCCAGCAGTCATCCTCAAAATATCTTTGTAGGCGAAGGTACAGTTGACATATTTCAGCCCATTCTACTTGGCACCATTTTAATTGGTTTACATTAATGTTTTATCTTCTACATCTCTAAAGAATTTTATGAAGGWTTATTCTCCGGCGCCTCGTTTTGATTCAATCACGTGCAGTGACAACTGAGGCTAAATTCGCAAATTGGCTATTAAAAATCTAAGGTTACCTTATATAGAAAKTCAATACCGCTTGGGAGCATGGGAAGGGAATTGATTTTAATTGCGTGCCAAATGTTGCATGTACAACAGTGTTTCTGTCTGAATGGCTTTATCTATAAAATGTGTTTGATAACGTAGATGTTTAGCCAAATATGATTCAAAATTCCAACTTCACAAAATCCACTTCAACCACCTTTGATGACTTGCCCTTACCCAACAAAGTTTTTTCAGTTTGGTGTATATATGTGAAAAAGAACATTTCTCAATCCACAACCTATAGACTGTATATCATTTACCAAATCGTCAAGGTTTATTGAAAGATAGTYGTTTTTAGCACTGTTTAGTTGGATTCGAGAGGACTTATCACCAATATGGTCGCTATCTTGAATTATGGTAAAATTATGGGATGTGAAAAGKACTCCCTAAAATGTTTACTTCCAATTACATTTGGAGTTTTTTTTCCAATTTGATGTTATAGATTTAAGTAGTAGAATTCTAAAAGCTGTCTGTTGCCCTATGGCTATGCTATATATAGTTTTTCAGCAAAGACAATTTACAATGTCAGGTAATAGTCAAATAAACGCAAAAAGAAATGAGTTTGCTACATGTTTTACTCTTAATAACTTAAAATAATTATCTTATGGGTGTATGAAAAACAATATTGCTGTTTGAAATATTGATGGTGGTTGATCCTTGGAAGACTCGCAAATTCCCGATTCTATATTTTTGATGGCGTGCCACCGATGCTCATTTAGAAATAATCTTGAAGATTGTCATCTGCAGGCCACCTACGCAGAACATTGTATGCTACGGAGAGTTAAATAAAAACCTCTGACTCATGCGACTGCCACGTAATTGCTTTTGTAAAGCGACCAAAATAATTCTTTGTGGGATACTACATTAAAGTTTGGTTTTGATAACTCGTTAAAGAAGTCCCCGGTATATTTTCTCTAAATATTTTGACTCTTTTAAAAATTTTAGATTATTATATTTTGTATAAGTTTTTTTTTTATGTAAGAATAGAGTTATCTCTCATGAACACCTCGTTCTCAACAGATGGATCTATTTCTCCTTGCAGAATATTCCGGAAAAAAATGACGTTATTAATTACACTTCTATAAAAGATGAAAGCGTTGATATCAAATGGGAAGAATAATCCTAATTATGCTTTACGTGGTAGAGTGAAGTCAAAAAACCCGTGAAATAGATACTACACTTATACACTTCAGTATGCTCAAATTTCATTGTTTTCTTTTGTCTATTTGACTATCACACTTTAATAGTCAAATGTTATTTCACAGGTTTAATGACTTCATTCTAACTTTATATAAAATGTAGTACTATTCCAATAGTTATCTTTGAGATTCGTATGAAACTCGCCTCCATATTGTTTAAATGATACACCTGTTRTTCAACTAATGTGTGTCTTGACGTCAACTCAAAAATAAGGAAAAATAAGAACAATTTTAGTCAATTATCACTATACTGACACCCTCGCTACCGTAAGAATGAAATGTTTWTTTTTYGAAATTGTGCAAGTCGTCCGTGTTACTTCTTTCTTTGTGATCGCAAAAAGATAGTTCATAACACTTGTTGCTGCACTAGWCCATAATCGACCACGAATTCGCTAAACAATAGTTTCAAGTCGAAAAAYTACAGTTAAAGCCTCTACTTAAAAGTATTTTGTGATCAGTCATGATAATTCAGGAGAGGTCTGTATGTTTATTATTGTAAAAACAAACCACGTTTAGTATATCTACTTAGCAAACATTACTAAATTAGACGACACAACTTATGTTGCCTACAACCATCACATGTCTACTTGCCTTCGACTCTTGTATAGAGCTATCAAACAATTRTTTTAGAATCTAGTTGTGTATGAAGGTCCAAGACTGTCGAAAAAGTCGTATATCGATGCAATGCATTCATCGTCCCAAAAACAACCAAAAAATATATWAATCAGGCTTCAAAAGCAACATTTCCATTTAATGTTGCTGACAGAGTATGAGATCGAAGTAATTGGTTATCACAGGGGGGTATGGAGGGGAATTTGGATGTCATTTGCCGTAAATTTGAAATTCAAAGTAGGTGGAATATTAATCGACATAAATGAACAGCGTTTATCACCAATATATATCGTCATCAACGAAAATCTTTTGTGACGATCACCACACAAAAAAATGTATTTGATATACAAGTGGAGGCTCGTTAACCGATGGATGATTAAATCGAAAATAACAAACTTTGGATGATTCAAATCCACCATTCGAGAAAAGGAAGTAAAAATACAATACTCACTATCATGGAAAAAACACGGAAACACCTGTTCTGACTAGACTTTCAGAAGAGAAATTGTTTTCGTGACGTCACCGTGCATGACGTCACAAGCTCTGGCCATTTGCTCATTACTTAATTGCTTGGCTATTCAATGCTGACTTCCTTTCTTAGAACCAAGAACTTGTATAACAAAGAAAACCTTATCTTTCGGAGATGAATGACATCTTGAACGTTTGATTATTTTAATTCATTCAAGTGTTTGACGGTAGCCAAAAGACTGGAAATCCTCGTTTATATTGTGGTGAAAAATGAACTCCATCAACAGAAATAGCTCGTTTGTACATTTGACGAATCAAGACAAATCCAATCGAGAAATTTCCGCCATCTATTTTACTGTAATCTCGGTATTTATTGCTTTGGAAAATATAGGAACTATATGTGTGGTATGGATGAAAAAGAGGAAAAAACCTACAGATCATCTGTTAAGAACGTTAGCTGCTRTTGATATGATAACTCCGTTCTGTGAGTTCTCACTAGGGATATTTTACAGCCTGGCTGGTGTTTGGAAAGGTGGATTAGTAAGCTGTTCTCTGGTTATCCTGGTGTCTTTGTTTTTCCTGCGGTTTTCCATGATCGTATCAACGTTGATTGCAGTCGATAGGTTTTTAGCCGTTGCCAAGCCATTTTTCTACCGTTCAAAGGTTAGGCTTGGTCCCATTAGAGTAATCTTTTCCATTTGTGGTATTTATAGTTTCTTGATGGCGCTTTGCCCAATACTTGATTTAAACTACGATAATAATTTCGATAATGACTGGTGGAAGTGTATTTATCACTGGAGGACGAGCCGATCTGATGGTTTCACGAGGATTCACATCATTGCTAACTTAATCGATTCTATCATCTGCGTACTGATCGTGACAATTTGTAATATCGGAGTTATAGTGTATTTTATTCAAAGAAGAAGAAAGCAGACTCTTAAAGGAGGACCAAACCTGGTTTCAAAAGACTCAAGTTCTTACATTGATTCRAGAAGAAAAAAAGATTTGAAGTATGCTAAGCTCATGGGTTTGGTGATGTTGTACGTTCCTCTTTGCACGCTGCCAACTCAGGTAAAATGCAAATGTACTTTCTTTTTTTTTTTTCAAACACATGTCGTTCAATATGTCAAGGCTTGTCCTACCGGGTACCAACATATTTATATAAATTTTATTATCAAGAACCACTTAGAAATGAAAATATAAAAAATGCCAGTAATTGTCATTATTTTCAGCCAAAACTTTACAGTGATGTCCCCGGTCAATATAAACACCAGTCGATGTCAAACGATGAAGCAATATTAGTAGCGATGTTGATTAACATTTGCGCAATGTTACACTTCATTATATATTTCCTCTAATCAGGGTTGGATCTTTTAATGAAAAGATGTTGATGACAACGAATAATAAACGGAAAAGAAAGATGAGACTTGCAAGTARTTTATTTTAATTGTCAAAGAGCTGATTATCAAAAAGGAGTCTTKTGGAAATGCATGAATCTCTGATAAGGCCATGATACTGAAAATTTCAATAATACACAAAACGAGTATCTAGTTGAAAAACCAATTTGAATGATGATATGAAAAAGGCTAATTTGGGAGACTGACAATTGTCGGGCTTAGTGGGCGAGAAAAATAAATTTTGAGTACTAGTTCAGGATAGTTTCTTGCCAGCATRAGCGATAAACAACCATTACGTGCTCAAGCAATACGAAAATCAGTAACAGGTGCAACGGTACTTTAGAAAAGCAATGTTTTGTCTTTGTCCTTGTTGCTTAGGAAATGCATCTGACAGCAAATAAAAATTTCAAAATGACATAAATGTCCATTTAAACTCTTTCCCTCATTAGGATTTACAAAAATAAAATTGTGCACAGACAACTTTATAGACAGGTACTGGATGAATTACGGCGAAAAAATTCAGTTGTTGGAAACACGTCGGATCAGTCTTTTCGTTTCCAGCCGTCGGGGTCTCGCACGCGCGCCTGTGATACTAATCTCTCGGCTGAAAACTGAGCGCAAAAACGTGCAACTTTAAGTTCAAATTTGTAATAATCAACGTAGATATTAAAAAATGGGTGATTTTTTTTTTCCATCCGAATGGAAATCCCTGATGTACGTAAAATTATAAATWTTCTCTGTGTTTTATTTTCAAGCTACTTCTTTTAATTTAATGAAATAAGATGGACGTCTAATCATATGGTCGATAATCCAATAAAATTTCCTCAGTGTTTATCGTGTAGTTAGCTGTCATTATGTCCAATATTTGATTAAACTCGAAGCCAATGTAAATACGTTGAGCTCTTTCAATTACTGGCACGTTGGAAGATTTTAATCAAAATTTCATAAACTTCAAAACGGCGCATCTGAGGAGAAAACATCCACTTAACTATAGCTTCAATTCCATAGAGAATCTCATTGTGTAGTGCATTTGGATTGCTATAGAACCCATTTTATTTTATAATGAAGCTTTTTCTTGATATTTTTCAGATTCTCATCATGTTACATCACTTCAATCTCACTTCACTCAAAGCAGAAACAGTTTGTCTTTACCAGATGCATATAACTGCAATAACCTTACTCTGCAACCCAATATTCTATGCCCTTATAAGGAAGCACTATAGACATGCGTACGCGTTCATTCTCCGCCATCCCATGGTGCTTTGCGGTGTTGTTCCTTCACATGGAGTCTTTGATTTTGGTAAGATTTGTAGCTGATAATTATATATACAAATAACGATATTGAGAATAAAAACAGAATGTTATAATAAAAAAGAGAAACTGCTGTGAAGAAAATCTTGGTTTTCTGAGTTTATTTTACTATTCTTACGAGGAATTACAGGAAGAGCGTTGTCGCTATTGGGCACACCTTATATTAGCCAATTAATAACAAATAAATATAAATGAAAATACAAATTTGCGTCCGGTTGGAGTACTAGTCTTTTTATCAAACAAGCTAAATAAAGTAAATCAAAAACCGATTAATGTTTGATACATTTGTATAAGTAGAAATCACTTTATATACATACAATGATTCTGTTTTATTACAAACGATTTTCTATGTTTCCCCGCGCGCTTTCCGTTTTTTGCGTTGTTTAAAATCTTACGTGTACTCTACCTTGATAATGGCCGCGCCGAAAGCTCGGTATTAAAAATATCACTAGTAAACGCAGAGGAATCATTTATTTTTAGATTTTCTATCAGTATCTTTTCAATTTTCCTTATTGGATTAATTACCTTTTTTTCAGATGAAGGATCTGACGCTGAAAGAACTCTAAATTTTCGTCAAATGGCGGTCGTTTCTCTAGCCGCAGCACGATTTCGTCAAAATGTGTCTCATTGTAAAAGTAAGTAAAYAAAATGTTGTCAGTATCTCATATATCGTCGACTATATATTGTTCCCTAGAACCGAAGATCGCTCAAATCGCTTAAAATTAAAGGATGCAAGCGAGCAAAAAGCACGAACGTTGTGAGTTTTTTAAGTCTGTTTTGCCGACATACTGCGGTGTCCTCTTCTCTCAACATGATCATTATCGCTATGTTTTCATAAGACGTTATCGTGAAATAGAGCAATTGGTGGTCAATGTCTAGTTAGACATGACTGATCAAAGCAAAGCAGTTCATKTGATCCTAAGACTCCTTAACGGGAGCACTGCATTGCTATTGGTTAACCTTGGAAGTGTCATTTGGAATAAACGCTGTCAAGCTGAACAATTACAATTCTTTCCGGCATCATTCTCTAATTTTCCTGAATGAAAATAAAAAAAAGATCTAATGMAATTCAGCTAATTCCTTTCAAGTTGATTGATTGAAACTGAACCTTTTTTCAGAATCGAAAAGTAAAGTTGAACATTCAGACTTGACGGTCTCTAAAGATATCCCCGCCATAGTTGAAGACCTCGAAAGAAAAGTTTCTGRTGATTCGRCTTCAAATAAAACCAAACAAAAAAGTCGTGSTGCCCTGTGGGACAATTCCCTCGCGTCTAGTTTTCTTCGACCAATGCCTAGTACATCTAGTTACTTTAGCGATCAGGAATCCCTKCCGTCCTCACCAATATGGCTGCGAACACCATCTCGACCAAGAGGAGAAAGCTATGGATCGGAAGTAACCGAATTATCCGAAATTGAAWCATCTTCCTTCCAGAATTCACCACCTTTTCCAAAATTATCATTTGAATTCGAAGGATTTGAACTTAATAGCATAGAATGTCAGGCAACTACTAGCAAACACTGTCTACCAGTTCAAAACGAAGGATTTGCAAAGAAAAAAAGTAGAGAAAGCGAAAAGTCACTACAGCTTCAATTTCAAAGACCATCATTTGAGTGTGAGGTGTTTGAACCCACTTGTACCACAGCCTGCCAGGAAACCATTAAGCACTCTTTACCAGTAAAAGAAAGCTGTAACTACAAAACAGCTGACCATGAAAGAAACTCTCATATGATTCAAAGACAATTATTACAGGGGGAAGTATTTGAGCATAGKCATATTGCATCCCGGAAAACTGGTTACAACCGCTCATCAGTTTCAAGCGATAATTCACTTGTGCGAAAAAGGGCCGAAACTGATATACATGTATTGACTGTGAAAACGTCAGACTACAGTCGACGACGACGATCACTCAATGACAGGAATCTATTTGAAAATGACAATCCTCAAGCGAACTCTAATCGCATCGTTTCTGYACCATTGCATGAAACTTCACGACCTGGGATAGAAGTGACTACAATTCAAGGAGCTAGTGATATTCCTCCTAAGTCGAACTCTGAAGAGRATACCATACATGATCGACGGTCGAGGTTTCGCCGCAGACAAGCGGTTAGTGACATGCCAGCAGATTGGGTCTTACAAGAATTTTGAATTTTTAAAAGAATGTTATAATTTTTTCTTTATCTTTAAGTGGGTTTTGAGTCAAATCAACAATAGAACACATCCTAAGTACCAGTAAGGAAATCTATATTCTTCAATAAACAATGACAATTAATTCTAGTTAATTCCTWTTAACAATATCTAGTGACGCTTCTAGAACATAACTACACGCGCCCGTCGRAAACCGCACGCCAAGTTGAATTTAGAGCTACGAGCGTATCAAAAAAGGAGTATTTTTGTAAATTTTAATTTATCGTTGATGAAGCAACAATAGAGGTCTAGGTTATAGCGAATCGAAATCGTTCAAATTAAGTCAAAAGCAATTAAAGTAATTTCAATTTATTCCATATCTACTGTCTGTTGTTATGTTGTTGTATTGTAAGTATTTTCAACTGGCTCCACCAAGGTTATTCAAACCACGTTGAAGCATAGAGATTCTGTCTCTGTACATTTCAGAYAGAACCTGAAGAAGAAAGGAATTGCACCATCCTATCGAAACTCCGCKTGTTAGATCTAGTTAAAATCTAAAACCTATCAGGCTGTTACTGAGTAAAATGTTCATTTTAAGTATGCTTTAACTATAAGAACCGTTTCAGTCCAAAATCTCGATGTAGCTGAATGCAGTACCCTGGCTTAGGTCTACTTTGGCGCATGTACACACTCKATAATATTTCTATTTACCCGTTGAATAAACGTGTGACGTCCCATCAAGCACCTTTTTTTCTAGAAATGTCTGATTTCATGTTGAGCGCCTTTACAGAACCTATTCAGCTGACATGGAACAATGTAGGCTATTACGCATGAGGCACACCCAATGTACCTGCAGCCTAGAGAGCCGTCTGGCGTGTCAGTACGTACACAGCAGTATTTAATATGTTAGTTACAATGCAATGAACGATGGTGAGTATTAAAACATGGTGCGCGCAGTAATGTCTGGGTTTTCGGGCCGAAGTCCAGGCATTGATCACCATCCCTGTCTGTCCCATGTTTAATTCCCTGCTGCTAAAATCTCTCAGCTATGAATTGATTSAGGAATGCATTGCCCATGAAGTSGCCTGTGTTTTCAGATCAGGAACATATAAGAAGGAATAAAGATCAAAACGATACTTTTCTCTAGCTGTCAATCATACCGGCACTACTCTAGCTGTCAATCATATCGGTATCATTCTCTAGCTGTCAATCATATCGGTATCATTCTCTAGCTGTCAATCATATCGGTATCATTCTCTATCTGTCAATCATATCGGTATTATTCTCTTGCTGTCAATCAAATCGGTATTTTTTCTAGCTGTCAATCAAATCAGTATATTTTTTCTAGCTGTCAATCGTATCGGTATTTAGTTCTCTAGCTGTCATTCATATACCTTGGTAATACGATAGATAAGATAATTTCATATAATCAACGAAAAAGAGTATTTCTCCAGCAGTGATTACAAAACCAAGTTTTAATTCGGACGACACGGTCTGTSATCAGGGATATAATTGGACCGATTTTTCACTAATAACCATCGTTTTTCTCTAGATGTCAATCATGAAGCATTTTTCTCTTAATTAGTATAATCACTTTTTTTCGAGTGTTAATTTTTATTGAGTTATAAAGTTAGATCTTGTAACTCAATTATCTCGTCAATTAACCGAACAATGACGGCAATAAAAATAAAATAAAAGTCACGCACAAAAATAAATACTACTACATATGTAAATATCTTGGTAATAATTTTAATATAGTTTTTTTTCATTTCATAGTGTACAATCAATCATTGTGTACTGATTCTAGTAATTATTTATAAATAAACGTTTTGTAAGCGTGTAATAAAACAATTATAGAGAAGATCAACAGCGAACAAGTGAAACTATAAAACAATATTCATTGATTGATATCACTGTTACATAGGGAACAACTTCACGCGCTTGCACTGCATGAAAAGATTTATAACAATCTTAAAACGCTAAGAACTGTATGAGGATTATTTCTCGGTTAACATTTAAAATGTCCGAAAACCTGTCCAAAAATGTGCAAGCAGCTATATTTTTTAAGTATCATAAATTGTCAGCAATAAAACCTTGTAATGCAAAAGCCTTATCTTTGTATTTTGTGTGCTGTCAGTTTAAAATTAGTCACATATCGCTTTGGATCCCTGATGCCTTGGGCTTCCTGTCGGTTTTGATAAAGGCCTGGTTTCTAAGGTGATCCAAGCATGGCCGACATTTCATTCGCTTTTTCTCTACAAAACCTGGAAGTTTTAGGCACTTTAGACACCAAAAANCCAAAAAGCTGGAAAAAAGTATCCAAAATGACTTAAAGCGTACTTCCAAATAGGATTGAGAGGTAAGATTTTAAATATCCGAGGAAATTCGACCGAAACTTGAGAGCCATTCATTTTGAACATTTTCCCAAAAATACAAATTAAGTTAAGCTTAAGTTATACACCACAAAASTTTTTTTACTGTAGCTTAATTCAATTTAAAATAATTCTAAAGCACTTTAGATATCAATTCATGAAAAAATTAGCGATTGCTTCAYTAATTGACGAACATTGTCTCTAAATGATATACGAACTACGTGGACAACAAGAAGACCCAGTCCTTTGTACTCCCTGTGCATGAAGAGAAAGGAGGGGGCTGGTTCCACTATTAATTGAAGTAGTTAGGTGCACTAAGTTCTTTTGATATATAACAAATCATTTGTCCTGGTTTTCAATTCAATTCTTTGTATGTATACTATGTTATATATTAAAGATTTAAAGCTGATCAGTGATTCGAGGTAGGTACTGATTTTTCAAACCATAATAGTCAAAGTTCAAGGCTTGATGACTTCCAATCCGAAATATAAACTCAAATGGGCACTTAAAAACTYACTTGTACTCCAAACAGTTCTTCTTTGTCACCAATACCTTARAATCACATGATCAAATGTTACCCACGTGACCAGGACGAGGTATTCTCAAATGGTCACATGACTTTATGAATATAAAGAAAAAATAATGTTGTATTTTCGTTTCTGAATCATCACCAATAATTTCTAAAACTAGCGGCATTGAGTGGACCCTATAAAATCCCTGTTAGTGTTCCTGAGTCTTTGAACTTTGTATCGTTTCGGTGCTCATAGAGAGAACTAAAATCAACACATAAACMCAATAGATACGTATTTGCGGACAAGGCCTAAAATACTTTACGTAAGCACAAATCCTCACAAATGTGTTTCTGCAGCGCTTTGGTATTATTTTTTATCCAGTTGTTTTGAGGATGGAGTACAATACAACGGGTACGAAACGCATCGATGACTGAATGAAGGAATTCAAACAGGGATTTTACGGCAGTTAACTAAATCCGAAACACTATTGATACCGCTGTTTAAATAACCTTTCTAGTAACTAGTGGTCACTATTTACAAATCGTCAAATASCATTAGATATGTGCTTGCCCGTAGGGATTGCCTATCTGTGACGAAGAATGCATATAAGGAGAACCCATATTATAGGAACAGTTAGGGTTGGACATCGGTCGATGATATGGCCCCTGGGGTGGAGGTGGCATGAAAACTGGTCCTGATGTATTCGTCAATACCTGAGGGAAAGTTTGGTTTGGAATCATGGAGTGCGTTGTTGCTACAGGATGCCATAGGTTGCTGCCACTACAGCTTGGCAGGTCGTAAGGTGAAGGACTAGATTTCTTAGGAGGAGGTGGGTCCTTGCTGTTAGTATTGTTTACTGATGATGGTGGGGAGGTAGGTGTTGATGGTGGGCTGGCCTTCTTCTCTGTACTTTGTTTAGTCTCAGTTGATTTTTCTAGTTGCCTTGATTTTGCTCTTCTGTTTTTAAACCAAACCTGTACAAGAAATGAAAATCAATATATTGAGATCTAACATGTCTAGTAGTATGACCAGCACTTTGTGGAAAAATTATCATATTCCATCGAACGATCGTGTAATAACAGAAGCTTTTCACTAATCGTTTACAAAGAATTAACATTAATTTTTGAAAATAACAATTAATTTTTGAAAATAGGTGCGATAGTACTGTCTATGGTAACATTATGAACAACGCTTTTTAACTGTGGTTTAGGCAGCAAAGACTTCGACCTCTAAGATCAAAGCTTCTTAAGTTAATTTTTTTTCAGAATAAGTACCTAAGATATATTTCTTTCTTTTATTCACCAAATTACTGACTTATCATAATTTATGTTTGTTTTTTGAACCCTAGAAAGTCTTGCTCTACCAGTGATGCCATACATTGATAAGCCTTTCTAGGTGTTTACTTTCTCGTTTTGTCTCGATTTCTTTGTTCACTGTTCCCTTATTAATTGAAGGCAATAAACTAGACGGGCTTTCATGGGACAGTGAATCTAATGGCATTAATCCGACAAAACCGATGAGTCGCTCATGTTTATTACGGGCTAATGATCTACTGGGTGTCTATTAGCTTAGTAAAACCGTCAGATAAAAACACCTAACCTGAGAAAAATATTTCATATTCCAATAAAAGAAATCAGGTCTTAGGGACTTCTAGACTTTGATTAGTCTATTTGCCTATTAATTAGTGTCCCGTGAACACCACTGCGGCTACTTCTCGAACCACATACCTGCACTCTAGACTCAGGGAGATTTATCTTTGCAGCCACTTCTTCCCTCATAAATATATCAGGATATCGCGTTTTACCAAACAGTTCCTCCAGAACTTCAAGCTGGTTTTTTGTAAAAGTGGTTCTTTCTCTACGTTGCTTCCTCGATGGATGCGCTGAAAATATAAATAACAGTTCGCTTAATGACCAAGTAGAATACCAAATGCAAACAAATTTATGTAGATCCTAAGATGATASTTTTAGAGGACGCCTCCTGCTTCCTATATCGGTAAGCCGGACTTGCTGTAGTGTATTGTCTTTTTGCGACTAGTATTCTAAAGTTGATATTGTTACCAAAAGCAATATTATAAAATGCCGGATTATAAAAAAAAGAGAAATAATGTGCTGTAGCTATGGGGCATGTTTTAGAAAGATAGAATAACATTCTATACAGATGAAACAACATTTTAGGAAATCGTCAAATTATAGTGTGCAAACACCGTGCAATTGATATTGTTTGCTGAAAACAAGCTAAATAAGTTAAAATCCCTTTTTGTCTTCTTGTCTTTAATTAGTACAGTTTTTAAAAAAGTTTTTCACGGCAATAAATACACTCTATTAGTCAAATAAAAATAGAGGACAATATTGGAATTTACGATTACTAAGATATAGTCAAGCATCAGTTTCGTAGATTTTGCAAATTATTACAAATTCAGCTTACTCTATTTTCGGCAAGAATCAGTTTTTGTATACGTATCAACATCAAAAGCAAGAGCAATATTGTTAAAATAAGCTTAATATAGTTATTTAACGAAGATACTCTGGTTTTGATGAATGAGTATCAACTATAATAAAAGAAATTCTGAAAGAAAAAGGAAAGAAAACAACCGATTTTCTTCGATTTTCAGTTTTGTCAGAAAACGTATCATTGAGTGCCAATACAGTTAATTAATAGAGCGTTCCTATTATTATAACTAGTTCGAGGGCTATCTAATATTGTATACCCATATTTAAACACAACGATACCATGATAATAATATCCCCGTTTAATACCCAAGCGAGAGTGATGGCCGGTTTATAGCAGTTTTTAGTAGCAATACTAGAAACAGTCTTTGCCCTTTGTCGCTCAAAGAAAAAGAGTTCTTGTAATTCTAATCATTTTTGGGGGGTACAACGTATTAGTTAACTAGGCTTAAATTTACAATTTGGGTGCAAAATGAGCCGTTTTAGGCTATCGTTTAATTTGAACGAGTTCTTAATTTCATTGACAATAAGGAATCGTCAGTTGTGAAAATATACTTAGAATGAGTTTCATTACGATTCATTTGTAAAAMGTMTAAAATTCTATAAGAATAAAATAAMTTGAAGATAAAAAAGATTGAATCGTAGATCACTAAGAGTGATGTAGATTCCCGGCTGTTTTCGCTAGAGGTTTTTTTTGCACCGAGAGTATTTTCACCAATTTTACATGTGAAGGTATTTCTCTATTTTGGGTCACCAACAAAGTGGAAGTCACCGCAAATACGATCTTTAATAGACCAACTTTGAGAGGCACATACTGGAAGCACACGTATTAACTAAGGAATCCAAATATTGACCACATTTTTAGGAAACACCAATTTATTATTAGACTTTGAACACTCGAAATATATCTCGTAACCATAGGAAATAATACAAAGGTCTTGACATGAATGTGACCTCGTCTTGAGAAAAAGCAAGACAAAACATTTAGAAATTGTAACAAAAACTTACCGCACGAGTTTGATCCCATGTGRTTAAAGAARTCAATGTTTGGAGGAGTCATTGGATGCGTTGTAATTGGGTAGGACGGTAAATGACCAAAATATCCCGCCATTACAAGACCTTTATCAGATACACGTGTTGCCTTTAAACCTGAAGGAAAAGTAAACTGGGGTCAAAATTGAATTACATAACATAAATGTCGCTGGAATAGGCAATTAACGCGAAACAATAATAAGATAATATAGAGGCAAGTTAGCTTTATCCTCGGTGATCGTAAGGTTTTGGCACGGATAACACCAAGGGCGAAGATTATCTTATTTAAAGCAAAGCACACATGCCCATACCTACACACGGTATATACAATACACAAGTATCAGTTATGGCAAAGAACTCGAGCTCCAAGCACGTATACCGTGAAAGCACAATGACAGCACACAACGGAAAGGACTGACAAGTCATATGTGAAGATTGTACCCACTACCTCACATTATCTGCCAATCATCTTGCGGATTATATAAGCCAGCAGTGAGAAAGTTAACAGCCACTTGCACTTTGACTGATTTTGATTGACAGATGTCAGAGGATTAACCAATCAATGAGTGTCAAGAATGCGAGCACTAAAATGGTTTCCCAAGATTTGTAAGTAGATACGGACATGAAATCTTCAAGATACTTTTAAAAGCAAAGAGTCTTTCTAGATAAATCAATATTTTACTTGTTTTGCATTATTTTTTGTTTCTCTGGTTATTTATGCATGGCATTTCAACGCTTCGTGTATAACTGTGTTTAGAGCTTTCGCCACGATTAAAATCCATGACTAATCGACAGTCAAATGGGTCGTAAATGAACGTTACTCTGGAAGCATTTTCTGACAACACAGTGTTTTGGCATAAAAAAGCGGAAATGGATGTTATTTGTCAACTTTTATAAATGACGACTACGCAAAAAGGATCGGAAATGTCTTGACAATTTGGACAACCATCATGTCTTGGCTAAACATGTCATATTGAAGAGCACGTATTTCCACATTAAACAAACATTTACAAAAAGAAAAAGCCCGGGCGTTGGTATTGGTGCCACAGGTATAGGTTTGGAGTACAASTAAAGTGTAAAGCCCTTGGAGTCGTTTTTTATCTAGTYGGTTGAGCTTAATCATTTAATTACAAAGGCGGAGTATTCCCGCTGAGTGGAGATCATAGTTTTAGATGTGTCGAATTCCGTCAAACAGTGAATTTGTTTGTTATTATAGTGCAACGCAAAGAAAACATATTTTCACACGGAAACACCATACATTCATATCTATATGTATTATATCCTTATCGAAAAAGACCATAGGGCTAAAACTGGGCGTGAATTAATACATGTTATAAACTAAAGCCTTCACTAAAGATTGTCACGGAAGAGCTGGTCATGTCCGCGACGTTCAACTCGAGAAAAATCTTTCAGCGGTTGATAAAAGCGTTTATATTTCTCAATATCGCAGGCACAGTATTAATACCGAATCCGAGATSTAGCTTTATTCGTAACAACAAAAGTCACAACTTTAGTTAGACATTTATTGAAAAAAGACAAGCATTCGGAAAAACTGTTTTGAGCTGTGCGGCAATGACTGAAACCTAATGTTTCTCTTAGTTTCTTTTCCCTCGCGTTTGGTATCTTTGCATTACGTTTAGATTCCAAAAGCTTGGCTACTTTTAATGTATTTTTCGAATAAGATTATGACTGAATTTATGTCATATTTTTTTAAARCTGCTAACTATATGCTGGGCATAGTAAAAATGTTCCTGATTTCTTTGCTCTTAAACAATTTGTCATTCATAACTGTTATACAAAGAGGACTTTTAAAACTACTAATGCCACTTTGCATTCTTTGGTACGATARAAAATATCACTATCAAACTTTTGTGTTTGTTTATCTCTTCGTACAATCTTATTATTTCAACTCCAGCAAACTGGAAGCCTAAATGACATATCAAAGTGTTAGCTTTTGTTCTCTACGCTTCGCAAAAAGAACAAGCAATAGAAACAGAGAAATAGAAAAACAGAATTTTATGATAAAAAGCCTTGAAACACATGTGACCTGATTGGGACATATGTTTTGAAAAACCTCAAACYGACAGTTTTGAATCGACAAGGGGTGTGCTAATAGAAAACAATTTACCATTRCCAATCTACACATCAAAGTTTCCAACCGTCTTGTATTTGCTCATCAATAACGTAAAACAAATGTTTGCTTTATTCACAAGTCAATTAAAAAGTAGAAAGAAAAAACAAACGTTTTCTTAACAGGTTAATCAGTGATTTGAGAGATATATGAGAAACAATGATATGGACGTTTTTTAGACGAGAAATTTCAAGGCGCAGTTTTTCCGCGCGTGTTTGCGATACGAAACATTCACACGGAATACTTTGTTGGTATCTCAAAATATCAACCAATCACAGGAAGAGACTACTTAGATTAAATTCAACAATTGCAATTCATTTTATGAGGTCTACTGACTTTAACCACAAACTCTACTGACAAAACATCAAAACTTTTTTTAAGAAAGGACAAAATTACTTTTCAGAAAGAGCGAAAAACTAGGTCCTAAAAGAAGTAAATCCCAATATCTTTACAATTGTAACTGCTCATCACATAGTACATAGTAAATCATTTCTTAACCCAACAGATTGAAATGGAAAAAAGGTTCAAAAATGGTGCCATCTTTCGGGACACAACGCAAAAAAAAAAAAAAAATCAAAATTACTAAGTAAAAAGTACAAAGCAGAAAAGAGACTTATATACATACTTGAATCGAAAAAGATTTCAAGCTGGACAAAATGTTACCAGATACAATATACAAAGAAATCGCACTATACATCAATCGTTAAAAAAGGATCAGAAATAAGATGCTAAAAAAAATCCATGTATTAGTGAGGAGAAAGAGAAATGGACGATATATATTTCAATAGTCGACAAGTCTACTATACATGTCAGTTTTCCTTTGTTAATGAGTACACCCCAGTGAGATACGTAAAAAGGGTATCTTATCTCTCCCTTATCTTTATAATGCACCAAAGCAAGTGATTTTCGAAAGGTGGAAAAGGTGTAGTAGATTGGAGCGGCTTTGTCACCCAAATCCTCTCCTTCGCTGACACTAGAAATGTTGACGGAATTCAAATCAATTCGATTTTCCACTAACATTTCATGAAAAWGAAACATGATTCATAAGTGATTTATGCGTCGATTATCAAACCGAACATTGTTCATATATATATAACTTATATATAACTTCTTTGCCGCCATATTCAGTGTGCGGGATTCCTGAGCTTAGMAGGAGTGTGTTACTAACCTACGTACGGATAACAGAGATTTTAGCCCTTCACTTTGGCCTTGCTGACCTGAACAGTTGGACTCTTCGCCTACTCTATGGTAGCTCATTCGTTGTAAGTTGATTTTTCAATAATAGTATCGTATGACCCGCCTGCAGAACGCGTGCATCGATGTTGGCCACCGCTAAGAAACTGACCATAAGAGCCRGGATTATAGTTTGATTTATGGCTTTGGATACTTTAATTGAGGTTAACCAAGAACCATGATATTGTAAACCAGAAGAAAACTGGTTCAAATGTCTCCTTTGCGTAATGCTAGGGGCGGAGAAGACGCTTAAAACGTGGTATTTCGTAATTGTGCAGGAAATATGAGAGGATTTTCAAGATGTAATGAAACGCGGTCATTCTTTWACCGGCCCAACGCCTAGGTAAATTCTAAGTGTAAATTAGATAAACTGCCGGATTGATGATGATGATGATACCAGAGAAATAACAATAATATTGAAATATGGCGGCCSGTTGTGCGAATATCGTCTTTTACCTCTTGCCAAAAACGATTCTTTTGTYAAGCTAGCCCCTCTTCATTCAGAGCCTCAAAGCTGATTCAAAAGCTCGATGTAGTGCCTGGTAACAGGTTCTTGATCTCTACTTAAAGCCTTCTGGTGTGTTTGGATAAGACAAGATCAACATCCAATTCTGAGTTGTTTCACCACAACAACAAACAACAGGATGACTTGGCAGGGCGAGACTTTGGATCTCCTCAGTCTTGCCATGATCCCAACCGTGTACCCCAAAGCCAGTATACAAGACTTAGGGCGAGAACGCCTACTGCAGACACGACACAGGTGAAAGCCAGCAGGATCGATGTCAATCATTGGCAAGTCAAAMAGGAAAGCTATAGTCATCGAGATGAGAAGACCAAGGGTGGAAAAAAACAGAGGTGAAAAACATGTCAAGCACTACATTACAGCTTACAAGCAGATATTCTGAATACAAGATCAGCCAATATAACATCGTTAAGACGTGGCTGCTCAAGAGGGGCAATGTAGAACACAARAGAATTGGTGGGAGACAAGAAATGACTCTCAGTACCGATGCAGGATCTTGACAGTTCACTTCACATTGCAAGAAGTTGAGTTGCTAGTTAACACAAAGGAACAATGAACACTTTCAATTATATCTTTCATTTCCAATTTCTATTTTAACTTTTATTGTAAAGATTACAGATCTTAGTCAATGCATGCAATGGCTGTTCGTGGCTTGCCTCCCAGCTAAATCTACAATTTGTTTTGATGGGCATGTAGACGTCTGAAATGCCAAATAATAAACAAATAAACAAGAAAAAACTTATAATCAAATTAACAGATAAAGGTTTTCATTGTGGGCAAGTGTTTAAGGGAGAGATACAATCGTTGAGACTTTTCTCTCACCAAATGGCTTATGTTAACTATAGGCTTTCCCTCACTAACTAAAAACATGTACGAAGGAACCGTTTTATTCTTTTATAGCATTTACCGTCAAAACGTAAAAAAAGAAAGAAAAAGTCAAAAAGATCTCACTTGGTTTTAAAACATAGTGATATAAGAATGAGCTGTGTGGATTTGTTCTCAAAAGAAAATCTTCACACAATTTTTCAGGGAAGTTACCGGTAGATAGCTTTTTTGAGTTAAAGACGCAATAGAGAAGATCGAAGGAGAAGCAAAGTGTACGTGAACTGAGTTCCCACGAGATACCCTACCTCAACCTGCAGGTGCACACGTTATCGTCCCTTTCGTAAACCGGAAAGAAATCAAGGAAATGTTCTAGAAATATCAGGCTCAGATAAGCCAAAGCTCCAC